TAAATAAATAAATCTTAAAAATAAATAAATAAGTACATTAAAAACTGGAAAATCTTAAGTACTATATAAAAATTTTAAAATGAAAGGGAATAACTTATACTGGAGATGGGAACATTTCTATTATAAATATAGTGATTTAGAAAGGTGACCTTAGGGCAAAATATTAAAGACTTGAGGGCCTGCACTGTGGCGTAGAAAATTAAGCCTCTGTCTGCAGCACCAGCATCCTGTATGGGCACTGGTTTGAGTCCCAGCCACTCCACTTCCCATCCAAATCCCTGCTAACGCGCCTAGGACAGCAGCAGAAGATGGCCAAGGAGCTCGGGCTCCTGCCACCCATGTGGAAGCTCCTGGCTCCTGGCCTAGCCCCAGCTGTTGTGGCCATTTGGGGAATGAACCAGCAGATTTAAGATCTCTCTGTTTCTCTCTCTCTCTCTCTCTCTAGCTCTAACTCTGCCTTTCAAATAAATAAAATTTTTAAAAAAGAGGAGTTGAGGGAGTGAGGCAAGCCAGTGCATGGGTGAGCAGCTGGTGCCCAGGCACTGTGGTCAGATGGTTGCTGGTAGCTTTCAGGCACAGGGGCTCTGAGCAACATGAACTTGGGGAGGGGAGAGGGGTTTGCTGTCTGGAAGGCAGCAGGAGCTAGGTCTTTGATTTTTTTTTTTTTTTTTTTGTATGGGTTTTTTTTTTTCTTTTTTTTTGGACAGGCAGAGTTAGACAGTGAGAGAGACAGAGAGAAAGGTCTTCCTTTTCTGTTGGTTCACCCCCCAAATGGCCGCTACGGCTGGCGTGTTGCGGCCAGCGTGCTGTGCCGATCCAAAGCCAGGAGCCAGGTGCTTCCTCCTGGTCTCCCATGTGGGTGCAGGGCCCAAGCACTTGGGCCATCCTCCACTGCCCCCCACCCCCGGCCACAACAGCGAGCTGGACTGGAAGAGGAGCAACTGAGACAGAATCCAGCGCCCCGACCGGGATTAGAACTCGGGGTGCCGGCGCCGCAGGCGGAGGATTAGCCTAATGAGCCGCGGCGCCGGCCAGGTCTTTGATTTTTATCCTGAGTTAAAGAGAAAATCTTCAGAAGAGAGCTATGATCTTATTTAGGTATTTTTTGTTTTGCTATGGTTATTTTAGTTTTAACAGGGTTGTGCTGGCTGCCCTGTTTTGATTAGGATGGTAGGAAGCCAGTTCCTAAAAGGTGATGATATGACGCAGCTAAGAGCTGGTGGTGGCCTGAACTCCTGAGTTAGCAGTGGTGGTGCAGACCATTGGTCATAGACATTGGATTTTTTTTTTTTTTTTTTGAAAGAGTAAAAGAGAGAGAGAGCTCCTCCATCTACTGGTTCACTCCTCAGATGGCTGCTACGACCAAGTTAGGGTCAGGCAAAAGCCAAGGACTCTCAGTCTTCTACATGGGTGACTGTGGCCCAAGCGCTTGGGCCATCATCTGCTGCCTTTCTAGGAGCATTAGCAGGAAGCTGGACAGGAAGCAAAGTTGCCGGGACTAGAAACGAAGCAACAGGGACTTGAACGAGCTCCTTGTTATAGGATGCTAGTATCACAGGCAGTGGCTTCACCTGCTACACCACAATACCAGCCCCTGGATATATTTACTTTTAAGATTAACTGATTGAGGGGATAGCAGGTAAAGCCTCAGCATGCAGTGCTGGCATCCCATATGGGTGCCAGTTCAGCTCCTGACTGCTCCACTTCCAATCCAGCTCTCTGCTAATGTACTTGGGCAGAAGGAGATGGTCCAAGTCTTTGGGCCCCTGCATCCACATGGGAGACCCTGAGGAAGCTCCTGGTTCTTGGCTTTGGATTGGCCCAGCTCCAGCCATTATGGCCATTTTAGTGGGGAGTGAAGAAGTGAATGGAAGATACCTCTCTCTCTCTCTCTTTCTACTTCTGCTGCTCTGTAACTCTGCCTTTCAGATAAATAAATAAATCTCTTGTTTAAAAAAACTAAAAAGATTGATTGATTTAAAAGGTAAAATGGAGACCGGCACTGTGGCATAGAAGGTGGAGCCGCCGCCTGCAGTACCAGCATCCCATGTGGGCACTGGTTCAAATCCCTAGCTGTTCTACTTTCAATCCAGCTCTCTGCTGTGGTCTGGGAAAGTGGTAGAGGATAGCCTAAGTCCTTGGGGCCCTGCACCCATATGGGAGATATGGAGGAAGCTCCTGGCTCCTGGTTTCAGATAGTCCAAGCTCTGGCCATTTCGGGAGTGAACCAGCAGATGGAAGTCCGCTTTCTGTCTCTGCCTCTCTGTAACTCTGCCTTCCAAATAAATAAATCTTAGAAGAAGAAGGAGAAGGAGAAGGTAGAATGACAAAGAAGTTGAGAGGGAGAGGAAGATCTTCTATCTACTGGTTCATTCCTCAAATGCCAGCAAGAGTCAGGGCTGAGCCAGGACTGGGCCAGGCCAAGACCTGAACCTAAAAAGTGGCAGGAGTCCGAGGACTTGGGTCACCATCTGCTGCATCCCAGGGGTATTAACAGGAAGCTTGATCAAAAGTGTCACAGTGGGGCTGCTGCTGTGGCACAGCAGGTTAAAGCCCCAGCCTGCAGTCCTTAGGCCCCTGCACCCACGTGGGAGACCTGGAAGAAGCTCCTGCCTCCTGACTTCAGATTGGCTCAGCTCCAGCCATTGTGGCCACTAGGGAAATGAACCAGAGGATGGAAGACCTCTCTCACTGTCTCTCTCTTTTTCAAGATTTATTTGCTTACTTATTTGAAAGGCAGAGTTACAGAAAGAGAGAGAGAAGAGTATCTTCCATCCTCTGGTTCATTTCCCAAATGGCCACAATGGCT